CATGAAGAAGGACGCTTATTTTTATAAATGGGCATGGTGGTACCGGGAAGACATTTTTATGGAATACAATAATTTCCAGGCTGAGATCAGAATCAAAAATAGTTCTTCCAGTTGCTACTTCTGGAATAGCCGCTTTGTTATTACCAAATGGCATGACAACACATTCACGATTCCATATTCCTTTGGACATTAGTGCAGAATCAACTTGTGAAATAAGACAAGGAAGCCAGTTAGCCGAACTGCTTTTGAAAACATCTTTAATCATTTGGGATGAACCGCCAATGGCAAATAAATTTTGTTTTGAAGCCTTAGATAGGACCTTGCGAGATATCCTTCGATTAAAATATGAAAACAGCGCAGACAAACCATTTGGAGGCCTTACAATGGTATTTGGTGGTGATTTTCGTCAAATACTACCGGTGATTCCAAAAGGAACACGAGCTGATATTTTAGATGCATCACTCAACTCTTCATATTTGTGGCCATTCTTTAAAATTTATGAGCTGAAACAAAATATGCGACTTTGTTGTGGAAGAGTATCTGATTCTGAAGCCGCTGAAGTTACTACTTTCGACAAATGGTTGTTACAAATTGGGGATGGATCCTTTTATAGTGATGTTGACAATGACCTTATTAAAGTGCCTACTGATATATGTATAATGCCATCCAATGATCCAATCAGATCAATCGTCGACGCAGTTTACCTGTCCCTCTTGCAGACATACAATGACCCAACATATTTGCAAGAAAGAGCAATACTTACTCCTAAAAATGAAATGGTCCATGAATTGAATGATACAATTATGAAAATGATTCAAGGTGAAGGAAGAACATATTTTAGCTCTGACAATGTGTGTAAAGCAAGCGTGAACACTAATGATGAAGATCTATTGTACCCAACGGAATTTTTAAATAGCTTAAGATTTCCTGGAATTCCTAATCATGAAGTACATTTAAAAGTAGGAACTCCAGTTATGCTTCTGAGGAATCTAAATCAAAGTGAAGGACTATGCAACGGAACAAGATTGATTGTCACACATCTTGGTAACTGGTCTATTAGTGCAAATATCATCTCCGGAAAAAACATTGGCTCGAAAGTAACAATACCAAGAATTATTATGTCTCCTAATGATTCAAAGTGGCCATTCAAGTTAAACAGATGTCAACTTCCTGTAACACCATGTTTCGCTATGACAATTAATAAAAGTCAAGGACAGTCTCTCAACCATGTTGGATTATATCTTCCTAAACAAGTATTCACTCATGGCCAATTATATGTAGCACTATCCCGAGTAACAAAAAGACAAGGATTAACTATTCTAAATGTTGACGAAGACATGGAAGATCCTATGTTCATTAAAAATATCGTTTACACAGAAGTATTTCAAAATATATGCCCTTAAAACTAAAATAGAAATGAGGTATTTCCTTATTTCATCCCATTTTTAATTTATTATGCAAATTCATAACTGTTCAACTAACAGTGTTCTGTTTTGGAACAAATAGGTATACTTGAAGATTAATGTTGTAACTAAGCATGATTTTATCAGCGATTCTTAAAAATTTGGTCCGTCTCAGAAGTTAGAGTACTCACCTTCGCAAAAACAAGTGTTTTATTTGATTTATTTATTTTAGTTGCTAAGGTAAAAAAATATCATCGTTCAACATTAACCATTTTAACATTCCTCAGGACCTTAATGGTCAATGAATTTCACAAAATGAATCAACTCAGTAATGGCTTCTGATGTCTGCGTAAGTTCCTCCATACTTTACCCAAATATCCCTTTTGTGTATAACTTCTAATTGTGCTAACAATCGCTTATTAGTGCCTTTCGAAGTTGGCTTATGGTACCAAAAACAGAAAAATTTTAACTAACCCTGTGAAGAAATGACAATTTGTGAACTTTGCAGTTAAGGCAAGGAATTTCATTTGGATCTTCAAAAAGTAAGCTTCCTCTATGTCAATTTCTGGTGCTTTTATTTGCGCTTGCTCAGGTCTCTCGTCTTGATGGCACTTCAATAATAGGAGCTGAATTGATCAATTTCTGATTCTCCACTGGTTGTTGATTACCCAAAGGTAATGGCAGAGGCACATGAGTGAAATTTTCCCTTGGATTGTTGTTAGTGGCTTCCTGTTCTGTTGCCCTAACAATGCTTTTCTCTTTCGGCGCCTTTGCTACTTTATCTTATATAGTTTGAGGAAGATTGAAAAATAACGTGTTGGTACTTGGTACCTAATTATTAAGTTAAAGCTTGATGTTAGATGAATGAAAGCTTTATGTCCAGCTCTCTTAATTATAAAAAGGTTGTTTGCCTGAAACATGGAAGTCATTATCTTCAGTTAACAATCATCACAAGAAGGACCTTAATGGTAAGGGATTTTGGATTTCATCTGTTTGTTAAATTTTCCCTCTGACACCATGCATTTTTATCTTCTATAGAACTTCTAACTTGAGTCCAATATATCCTTTCAGTTAAATTTAGCATCACGTCTTTCAAGGTGTCTGAGCTTTACATAGAGGTTCCTGAAACTGCAACAGTTGGCTCTCTAAAGGTATTCAGGGTGTCCTCTTTTCCTCCTCCTCTGTTGTATTCAATAGTCCCCCACCTCCCTAGGTTGACTAAGAATCTTTAGTTGACGATTTCTGCTTTGCTGAATGTTGAAAATTATTGTTCTTGCTGCATCTGTCGGTCAATACAGTTATTCATTTAATCTTTCTCGTCATTTAGTATGTCTCTGAAGCCGCTTAATTAAGAATTCTCTGATATTCTTCATCCATAATTTTTAATTTAAGATATATATATATATATTGTAACGTCCTGTTTAGTCGTTTTGAGTAGCAGATTTTATTTCTGGAAAAACAGGCTGAGGCGACGGACCCCACGACGGACCGTCATGGGCACGACGGACCGTCGCAGGGTCTCGTTTCAAAACACTTAGAAAATCTGAAATTGGGTAATGAAAATTGACTCTCTGAACTTCGTAACGAAATGGCAGGACGGACCGTCACAGATGTGACGGACCATCACAGAGTCTTCAGTGAAAATCCACTCTCTGGACCTTGCGACGACCTGCAGGACGGACCGTCGCAGGCACGACGGGCCATCGCAGGTTGCGCAATCCCAGTCTTGGTCGGATTTCTTTATACGTTTTAAGGGACGTTTTTGACTATTCCTGCTTTAATTATAAAGTTAATGGGTTAATGTTAATTAGTCTAATTACTTGGGGGTTAAAAGAGGTAACCTTAAGTTAATTAGTGGGTTATTATTGCCATATTTTATTCTTAATTATATACTAATTAGGGTAAAAGAAAGAGGGTTTGAATAAAGAAAATAGAAAGAACAAAGACAAGGAAAGAGAAACAATAGAGAGAGGATCGAACGAGAGGAAAAACACAAAGCTTGGGAATTTGCTTGCTTGATCACGAATCTTCGGTGGAAGTAGGTTTTGGT